TGGGGGAGAGGCTTCTTCTTTATCGCCGCTCAAAAAAGGTAAATCTCTTTCTACCCCAAGTATTTCTTACATCATTTTGTACACTACAGGAATGTACCATCATTTTGTACACTGCAGGAATGCTCAAAAAAGTTAAATCTATCTGTGAAAAGTAATGCTAATTTTTGTTAACGCACATATACTTTGTGTCAGTGTAAATTTTTGTTAATGAACCAACGTTTTGTGTCAGTGTGAATCATCAAAATATTGATGCATACATTTGGTACATAAATAAGATACAAATTTTGGGGTACGTGTAACATGCTCTAAAAAAACATCTTTAAGAAATATGTTTGGGGTATACAAAAAAGCTATGTGTATCCTTGAGAGCGGGTTGGGATTTCAAGAGAGAAAAACATGCAATAATAATTAGGTTGTGAATAGGGCCAAGCTTTTTTCTTTGAATCGTTTTTTAAATGGTATACTCCTATGGAAAATGCTAGGCCTAGGGGTACACTCCATTTGTCCTTCACCCTCTCTTTGTCCACAAAAATAGGTAAGAAAATTCAAAAAAAATAAGTAAATAAAAATCAAATACAAATGAGTGGTTATGGAGGGGGTGAAGAACATTTGGGGTACATTTTTGTAAATCAAATTCAAATAAGTGGTTATTTATGATCTTTCTTTTCACTTACTATTTACATAATCAAATTTCAATTACATTCTTTACATATTTTTATTACGGAGTAGTTGTTAGATAAAATAATATAGTCATATTATATCTTCCTTTGTAGAACTTTGAAGTAGTTCTAATATTTATTTTTAAATTTTACATCTATAATCAAATAAATTGAATTGAAAATAATTTCAGTCAAACATCGTAAATCGAACTAAGAAGATCATTTTAGGACGGAGGGAGTATCTTTCAAGTTAAAAATTAGATGAATATAAACATAATAATTGTAAATCTTCATTCAAAATCTAATATATTCAAAAAGTTATAATAAATGGGTACTAAAAAAGGAAAATGCTAGAGTGTCACCACATGGGTGCTACCATGAGTGCACTCATGCTTCGCACAGACAAACACAGACGATAATTGTCTGTGTTGCACAGAAAATTATCGTCTGTGTTTGTCTCTGCGAAACATGGGTGCACCCATGGTAGCACCCATGTGGTGGCACCCTAGAATGATCCACTAAAAAAATGGAGAAGTAACTTTTGACTCATTACGAATCATTTAGAGTAATTTTATAAATAATCAGTAATTACAAGTTGTTTTCTATATTTAATCTGCAATTTTAAGATTCTCCCGAGTATTACGAAAATAATTCTAAATTTTTGAAAATCATTTCATAAATAATTCCTTAGACCAAATATGACAAAATATTTTTTTCACGTATAGTCCCTCAAGGGCTAATTTTAGAATAAATTGAGGATCATTTATGTAACATCCTAAAATAAATGACTAATTATGAAAAATTACATGTAATTAGGTACTATTTATGAAATTTATTCACTCATTTATTATGTAATACGGAGTATACCCGTTCTAGAGTTTTTGTCTAGTTTTAAATTTTTACGGTCAAAATTGATCAACTTTATTTAACCTTTTTTTAAATAAAGTTTATACAGGGTAGTATATATAATTTTATCTAATTAATATAACATAAAATATTATTTAATTATTGGAAAAATATTGGTATTGGTTGATTATAGTCAAAATTAGATAAATACTTTAGAGCACATCAAGTATTAAGAGCCCCTTCTTTAGACATTGAACTCTTAACTTTCAGTTTCTTCCAGTTCTTCCAGTTTTTTCCAGTTCCTTCCAGTTTTCTCTAGTTCCTTCCAGTTTTATCCAACTATTTTTATTTTCTTCAAACTATTTCTACTTTCCAACAAATCACTCTAAAACAATATTATTATTATTATTACAACTATTATGTTCATAACTATAGTATAAAAAATATTTAATTTTTTTAATCTCACTATTTTTTACGATTCACGCTCATTATTATTTTTATTTCAACTTTTTAATATGAACAATACAATTTTTTTGTATATTAATCTATATGATAAAATAGGAATATATCATTATTTTAAACTATTTAAAAAAATTATGGATAAAATAGTTACATAGAATGTTTTTTTAATCTAAATTTATATAACGTAAACATCAATATTTTAATTTAAAATATAAGAATGGAATGGGGGCGGAGAGTACGAAATTATGAAAACCAAGAGAGAACTACATTTTGAAAAATAAAAAACGACCAAAAAGTCTAAAAAAGAAATTTAGATAACATATAATATCACCAATAATTAAAATAAAACTAACAAAAAATGTATACTATTGAAATTCAATTTATACAAATGAAAAAAAATTATACTTTGTTACTCAATTTTTTCTCTTTTTTATTTATTTAAAAAATTATTTTTGTTTTTCAGTTTTCTAATTTTTATTAAAAATTTTGAAAGTCAAAGTAATTTAGAGAAAATAACTTAAGTAGGAGTAAAACATAAAAAAATATAAAAAAAGGTTCAATGTCTTTATTTGAGAAGTAGGGTTACAATGAAAATAAAATATCAATTATTAAAGAAAAAATAGGTTTGATTACATTATGTGACATGTTTGATATTTAAAATAAAATCTTGTAATATATAAAATATAACTATAAATATATTATTTTATAATAAATACTGCATAGCCATAATAACTTTTGAGCATTTAACATTTTGATATTTATGCTAATGTTATATTCTAATTAATTTTTTTCTGAGGTAGTTTTTTTGTATGAAAACTAAAAATATTTTTTTATCTTGGACCCGGGCCGGACATGAAACATGTGGTTAAAGAGACGGAGAGAAAGGAGGATGCGAAGAAAGTGGCAAATATTAATGAAACAGTTAAGGATACGGTGGCCATTGGGGGCCAACTGACCGGGCATAATGCCATAGGACTCGAAAAATGAACTTTAAAGGGGTGGAAGGAGAATTAACCTAGGTCCTTGATGGAATGATAATGGACTCCTAGGGTTGAACCGGTGTGCAAGGACATAATATTTTTCTAAGTGACCCTATAGGATAAGACATAACCCTCCGGTAGGAGGTTACGGAGTTCGTGGACCTGTGGTTTTTGCACGGAAGATGGGAGCTCTTGGAGCAGCCAGTCATCCAGCCAGAGGTAGCCCTCCTCAATGGTCCGGGCTACAGTGAACGTCTGGACCGCAGAAGAGGAAGAGGCAGAGGTGGCAGCATCAACCGACTTCACCTGTTTAGGAGAAGGCAGGCACTGGCTAGACTTAGAGCTAAAAGAAGAAAAAGACTGGGAACAGGAGGGCTGAGACCGGGTGCCAGAACCATAGGAATGAATGGAGACGTTGTGGCTATCCTCGTTCCCAGACATGATTAGGAATGGAAGCAAAAAGAGGAAAAAAGAAGACTTACTTGGACTCGGAGGACTCGTTAAAAACAGATTCAATCGGGTGGTTTTTTAAGAAGCGAATTGCAAGTGAGAAATATGGGGGGACCTCGGTTTATATAGGAAAGGTGCCACCCAAGAGGACCAATAAGATTATGGCACCTGGCAGACGCTATAATATAGGGGAAACGACACGACAACTAGGTGGCGGCGTATTGAGTTTCCTTAAAATCTTTCCCGCCAACTTTGCCCAGGAAGTTCAAAATTCAAAATTCAAAAAGTGTTCAGTACCGGTTTCCGTAAAATCTTTCCCGCCAACTTTGCCCAAGAAATTCAAAATTCAAAATTATTCAGACATTTGATTCCCGCCCTTGATGGTGCCCACAAAGCCGGGAATCGGATGACTCCTTGATGGGTATAACCCATTAATACCACCCGACAAGTTCACAGGATCCCGAAGGTACCGAAGGCTGACCTCACCGACCCCGGTAATCGAACCGGGTGGATGTCATGGGGGTCAAAGCGATGAGAACGTGACTTCATTCGCAGAAGGCTTGAAGACAGGCCTGCTTGAAGACTGGCGGGGAGGATGACTTGAGATGAACAGTAGCGATAAAAAGTGTTTTTCTATTATTATAAATAGGAGCGAAAGCCTCATAAAGAGAGGAGACAATTAATAATTCACACGACTTGTAATTTTGTAATCGATCCACATTATAAAAACAAACCAGATTACAGGTGTTCCCACCTACAACCCTCCCGCTTTTTGTGACTTAGTATTTACATTGGTTTTACACCGTCAACTTGATACATGGATTTTATTCACTCTCGACATCTCTAATAAATTACGGAGTGTTGTTTTTTTGATCAAATTATAGAATACTTTGACCATGAATCTAATTTTATTAAATCTACATTACAATTGATTTTTTTTCAAAATTCATAGTTAAAATATTTTGTCAAAGTAAATCAAACTATAGTACTCCCTAATTTATTTGGCGGAGGGTGAATGAGTCAAAAATCAAAATGAAACATTACTTCTTCACCCTCGAGTTAAAGGGGCCGGCCAATCGGGTCGCCAGCAAAGTGCCAAAGTACATCTCAGATATTTAATGGTGACTAAAACATGTCGACCGATGCCAGAACCGACAAAGCCCTGCCCAGGGACAGCTCATGCTCTGCCGCCCTCTCCTCCCCATCCTTTTTTTGCTCTGGCTCCGAGGGATAAGACTCGAGTTCGATTCGAAACTGTAGCTGGAGGTAACTATGCTATGCATAAGACTTCTGCAAATAGACCGAATTTTTTTTTACCACCAATCTAAAATCAAAATCCAATTTATCTCCTTTTTAATTAAATGATCTTCCGATCGGGTCTGAGAAGACCCTCGGGGAGGAGGCTCGTCCTTTTTTTAAAAAAAATTATTTTCTCTCTTCAAAGTAGCTGCTGCATTATAATCACATTGGGCCTCACTCCAACCCTTTCTTTTTCTGTATTCTAAAATCTTCTCCATCTCTCTCCTTCCTAACCACTTCAAACCTACTTAATTTCATATTCTCTCAAAATATCTTTCTTTCTTTCTGTATTTATTTTGGGATTCTTTTAATTTCCCCTGAAAAACAAAAGCCACTGGTTACATCCTGGACCTGTTTATTAATTTGTGGCGATGAGCAAGATGAATAACAAGCAAGATATCATGAAGACTCAGGTATACATTTTACTTCAATCATTAACAGTTTTGTTAGGGTTTTGAGTTCTGTTTCATTTCTTCTTTCTTCTGGTTGAATCTTGAGCTCTTATGCTTGAATTGAATGTTTTAATGTGGCTTTTGTTTTTTTTTTCAAAAATTAATGGAAATTATGTTTGCAGGCTTGTGTTCTTAGGGTGAATATACACTGTGATGGCTGCAAGCACAAGGTGAAGAAGATATTGCTGAAGGCTGAAGGTGAGCCAGCTGGGTTTATTTATTTATTTATTTATTTATTTATACTTTGTGCATTAAATTCACTCTCTTCCTCCCTTAAGTCAATAATAGCATATATATGGTACCACAATCATAGCTGCAATTTGTCTTGAACATTTTACTGTATTTCATTTCTGACTTTTGTTTTCTAGGTTTTGAATCTCAGTATTGTGCTGAAATTTATTTTGTCCAAACTCCTTTGGATTCAATTGTCTGCTCCGTCCCTTTAATTTGACTTTTGGCAATCAAATGAGACAAAATTCAATCGTTAATTTAACAAAAATATTCGCATTACTTATTTTTTCAAAAAATGATTTAATTGGATTTGTCCGGTATATTTTTTTTTAAAAAATATTTTATTAGTACAAATTAAGTATAGTATATTGTAATATGAAGTATTTACTCCATATTTAATTGATGATCAAACTTCGTCCAGATTCGTCCAAATTGCAAAAAGTCAAACTGGCCAGTATGTGTCTGTCTTTTCTTTTTTGGATTTGTTGCAAGTATACCATATTTTGAAAAAAAATACTTGATTCGCAAAAGAATATTAGTTTTAAGGAAATTGTTAGACACATGGATTTATGAACTTGTATTGTTAAATTTTGAGATTTTCTCATAATATATAGTTTTTTTAAGTAGACATTTTCTCGTAATAATTAAATAAAAATACTATAGAAACTGAAAAATTAATCTAAAACTCTAATAAATCGGATATGGTATTATGCTTTTACTTTTTTAGTAGGTAGTCTTATCATTATTGTGCTGTTTACTTTATCATGGTGTATAAAATATTACCCATTGAACTTTATTTGCTTTTATTATTACTCCGTATTATTTAAAGGTACTGTGTGGCGTGCTAAAACATCATTGTGTTTTGTATTTTTTTTTCCCCAAATCTTTGTACTCCAATCTTTTTTCTTTGTTTTTTAGGAGTTTATGGTGTGAAGATAGATGCAGACAATGGGAAAGTGACAGTAACTGGGAATGCTGATCCAGCAACACTTTTGAAGAAGCTTGAGAAATCAGGAAAGCATGCTGAACTATGGTCTCAAAAGGGGAATACTAATAATAATAATAATAATCCATTCAAGATGATGAACAACCAGTTCATGAATTTGGAGCTTGGGGATTTCAAAGGGGGAAAAGACCCGAAATCGCGGGGCAAAGGCGGGGATAATAAGGACCAGCAGAAGGGTGGGGGACATATGATGCAAAATCTCATGAAGGGTGGTGGTGACATGATGATGAGAGGCCCTCCCCCCAACCCCAAGGGCCAAAAGACGGTCAAGTTCGATTTGCCCGAGGACGAGTTTGATGATTGTGATGATTCCGATGAGGACGAGGATGAGTTTTATGATGACGACGAAGATGATGATGATTCGGCCGATGACGAGCTAATTGAAGGTGGTGGCCGCCGCCACCCTCCACCGCCCTCCTCCAAGTCCAAGACAAAAAATCAAAAGGAGGGCGGTGTCAAGGGTGGCGGCGGCGGCGGGTCCCGTGGTTTCAGTGGGATGATGAACATGTTGAAGGGTGGGGTTGGTAATAATGGCAAAAGTGGTGGGAAGGCCAAGAAAGGTGATGGGGTTGAAATCCCAATGCAGTTCAAGGGCTTGACTGGTGGTGGGAATCACAATGATGTTGGTGGTAAGAACATGATTGGGGGCAAAAATGGAAAAGGTGGAAAAAACAATGGTCAATTTGTTGGTGCTGCAGGACCTCATGGTAATAAAAAAGGTGTTGGCCAAAACAATGGGGGTGATAATTGGGGTCACAAAGGTGGAGGCCAGCTTATGATGAACAATCCCCAGAAAGGATTATTCCATGAAGGTGGTGGTGGTAGAGGCATGGGCCAAATGGGACCCATGGGCCATTACCCGATGATGGGCAATCCGGCGGCCGTCCAAGGCCTTCCCGCTCCGCCGGGCCCCATGAAAGGCGGCGGCGGCGGTTATTTCCCCGGGATGATGGGGCCAGGCGGCGGCGGCGGAAACCCATACTACCCTCATCCGCAACAACAGCAGTACATGGCTCAAATGATGATGAACCAATACCAGCAGCAGCGACCGTACGGGTACGACATGCCCGGTGGCGGCACGGGCACCCATCCGATGATGTACGCGCCGCACCCGCACCCGCACCCGGCAATGGGCTACGGGCCGCTGATGCACCCGCCGGCCAACGACAACTTCACCCACATCTTCAGTGATGAAAACACTGGTAGCTGTAGTGTAATGTAAATCTGTTTTACCATTTCACCCTTTCTGAAGACTTGCTGTAAGGAGGTATAATTAATTACCTGCCGTAGTTTGGTGTGGTAATTTTTGCTGTGGTAATTCTCAAAGATTGTTTTGAATCTATATAGCCTATTTTATTGCTTGTGGGCCCCATATGTTCCCACCCAGTTTCAGCAGGAAGTGAAATGCTTTCCTTAGACGAGGGTGTGATATGAAACAACAAACAGTGTCGCTTGTGTTTGGGGACCAGAAAAATCTAAGTGACAAGGGGTATGGGATCTTCCGCTTTTGGTAAAGAGTAAGTTTTTAGTAGGAAAGAAGTTTGTTTTATGTCCTTTTGTGTACCAAAGCTACTCCCTCGGTTTAACTTCTCGATTATGGGTTGAGATACCATGTTTGCTTATGATATTTTAGATATTTTGAATTAAATTGTGTACCAAAAAATGGTACCACACTTCATACTCGTAAGGCATGAATCAACATTTTGTGCTAGTACTTCTTCTTTTTTAAATTGATGTTCCTAGTTTAGTTTATGAGTTTTAACTGAAATTATTTTTAATTTAATTTATTTGATTATAGGTGTAAAAATTAAAAAAATAAAAATTATATACTTCATTTTACAATTACATCAAAAGTTTTACAAAATGAGAAGTGACATGATTATAATATTTTATCAAATAACTTTCAAAAATAGGTAAAAAGAGTAATTAAAGTTTGATCATGTCAATAGTGTCTAGAAGGTTTATTTTAGGACATAAGGAGTATAATTAAATGTGATGGTTTACAATGAAATAAAATGTTAGTGCAATTTTTTTCCTATTGAAATGGTATTTTGTAATCAATCGTGAAAATGCTGGTGCATTCTTTTGGGGTACACTTTTTAGTGTACCCTTAAAATAGTTGTATTTTAGATTCAATTTGTACGAAAAAAAGGTGCACATAAAATAAAATTTATAAATTTAAAAATTGAATATATAATTTATAAAAATAATAATAATAATACAAGTGACGATAAAATTATATTCTTTTATAAAATTATCGAATAAGTAGTTAAAATCAACAAGAGTTCTTTTTTAAATTATTGTAGTAAGGGTTTTTTAGGGCTTGAAAAAAAACTGGATATTAGAAGAAATTGGAAGGAACTAGAAGAAATTGGAAAAAATTAAAAAACGGAAAAAAATCAGAAAGAAATTAGAAAAAATTAGAAGAAAATGGAAAAAAATTAGATGAAAAAACTAAAAAAATTTGGAAAATAGAAAGAAACTTTAAAAAATTTCATTTAATTTATTATTATAATTTATTATTATTATTTTATTAGCATTATTATTATTATAAAATTCATAATCATGGTATCTTAATCAATGTTGAGAAAAACTATTGTTATTTTTCATACATAAAAACACTACTTTTGCAAATCAATTATTAATCATAATATAAGATTCATATAAATATTAACATGTTAAATTTTATACGGCCCGATTCTAGTGACACCGGAGAACGGTGCCACTAGCGGTGCCACTGGGTTTTTGGGGCACCTCCGGTGCTCCGTTTGTAAAATTGACGGTTCCTACCCCCCTAACCCACCCCCTAAACCCCCCACCCTATCCCCACCCCTGCACCCCCGCCCCAACTCCGCCCTAACCCCCCCCACAAAATGTGTGGCTATTATGCAATGCATAATAGCCACACATTTTGTATGCATAATAGCCACACATTTTGCGGGGGGGTTGGGGCGGGGGTGCAGGGGTGGGGATAGGGTGGGGGGTTTAGGGGGTGGGTTAGGGGGGGTAGGAACCGTCAATTTTACGAACGGAGCACCAGAGGTGCCTCAAAAACCCAGTGGCACCGGAGTGGCACTGTTCTCCGGTGTTACTGGAACGTTGCTCAATTTTATAAAGTTATCATGGTTACGCTCACTATAATTTCTTTATGTAGTATTTATTATAAAATAATATATTTGTAATTATATTTTATATATTGCAAAATTTTGTTTTAAATATCAGGCCTATCCCACAATGTGATAAAATATATTTTATCTTTCATGATTGACATTGTATTTACATTATAATTGCGCCGTTTGAAAACATTATTCCCAGTTACCATTCAAACAGTCAAACTTTAATCACTTTCTCTGATATAATAATATAGTTTCGTCACTTCTTATTTTGTAGAACTTTTGATGTTTTAAATATATAAATTTTATTTGTTTAGTTTTACACTTATAATCAAATAAATTGAATTGAAAATAAAGTCGGTCAAACCTGGTAAACAGAAATAGAAAGAATATTTTAGGACGGAAATAGTAACTATTACTCCCTCCGTCCTAAAACGTTTTAACCGTTTTTGTTTACGAGGTTTGGTCAACTTTATTTTCAATTCAATTTATTTGATTGTAGGTATAAAATTAAAAAATTTAAATTTATATATTTAAAAAATGCATCAAAAGTTTTACAAAACAAGGTGTAACAAGATTATGTTATTTTATCAAATAACTAACAAAAATAGGTAATGAAAGTGCTTAAAATTTGACCGCATGAACACTAACTGGGAAGAACATTTTAGGACGGATGGAGTATTTTGGAAATTAAAATGTAGAACTCCTAATTTTTAATATAGTTATAAATATGATGTTTTTCTATTTTATCATATTGATTAATAAACAAAAAAATTGTATTATTTATATTAAAAAGTTGAAGAAAAAATAATAATGAGTGTGAATCGTAAAACTAGTGACATAGAAAATAAAAATGAAATAATTTATAAAATATAGTTATGAACATTATAGCGGTAACAATAAAAAAGATAATACTACTATTTATTATAATATAATGATAATAATAATCACATTAAACATACTTCATTTTTAGAGTGATTATTTTGGGAGTAGAAAGAGTTTGATGAAAATGAGAATAATTGGAAAAAATTAGAAGAACTAGAAGAAACTGGAAGTTAAAAATTTACGCTCTAAAAATAGGTTCTAAATATAAAAATATTTTGAAAAAAAAGTAAGGGCGATCCAAGTTTATATCCCAACATGTGTCACAAGCACACAATGTGCAATGGACATACAATCATTGTCTATATGTGATTATGATAAATTCGGGGTGCAAGTCGAGGGTACAAACTTATTCGCAGCCAATGCGAGGTCGATGTTTGAGTTCATTGATCATGGTTTCTTATTATTGAATGTAGGCCTGGACACGGTACCGGTGCGGTACCGTCACCGGCACCGGTACCGAGTACCGTCACCGTCACCGGAGACGACCAACCGGTTCCTGGAACCGGTACCGCCTCAACCGGTACCATGTCCAGTTCCCAAATTTCGTCACCGGCACCGCCGGTACCGGTTTAAAATTTTTTTTCCTTTTCTTGCTTCTGCCACCAAAGGATACCTGCAAAAAAAAAGAAAAATCAGTGG